AAAGTAAGTCTTCTTCAGGCGCCAATTCTGTCTTTGCCTGACCCTGGTCGTCCTATTGTACCGTCGTGTTTGAAGCTTCGGACTTTGCCATTGGCAGTGCACTTTTGCAAGTCGACTCTGAGGGTCGAGAACGCGTCATCGCGTTTGAGTCTCGCCAGCTGAAAGCTGCGGAGAAGAACTATCCAGTTCATGACAAGGAGCTACCTGCGATGAAGCATGCTTGTTTAGTTCCGGTACACCTCTTGGACCCAAAGCCGTTTGTGATCCATACCGATCATGCGTCGTCACGCACAGCAACACATTCGCCTCTTCTCTCTCAGAGAATGGTTCGTTGGATATCCTTTTTCGCGGAGTATAACTTCGAGGTGAAGTATAAGCCGGGGACACATAATGGTTTTAGCCATCGCGTTGTCGCGTAGACCTGACTATGAGCTTGCTCATCTCACTGTTGTGAGCTCATCAGTAACGGATTGTATCCATGTAGCGTATGCACGCGATGCGGCATGTGTTGCCATTCTTCAGGTGCTAGGTAGCTCAGAGTTTGAAAGATCTAAGGTGAAGCTGTCACCACGTAATCGTGCGCGATTTCATCGCTATACACTGATCGATAGTCTGTTGTACTATAGTGCAGGGCCGGATGGCTAGCAACGTGTTGTGGTGTCTCATGATGAGCACCTCAATTATCAGATACTTCATGAGGCTCATGATGCACCTGTTGGTGGTCATTTAGGTCGTGAAAAGACCTACAGCTTGATAAGCACCCATATTCGTAGCTTAAGCTGTGTAAATGGGCTTATACGTATGTCCGAACGTGTGAGACGTGTCAAAGGGTGAAAACATCGCCTAGTATGGCTGCGCGTTTTGCGCGTTTTGCCTGTACCCTCTGAGTTGTGGAAGCCCATTAGTATCAATTTTTTATTTAACCTACCTCGCGATGCGGTGCTTGAAGAAGCATGCTCTCCACAAGTCTTTGACTTAAACGTGGAAGATAATTTACGCTTGGCTTTAAAATTAGCGAAATAAAAACGTAGACGACGTTCCAACCAAACGTCTTGTTGTTTAGAGCTTAAGCGCAAGTTAGAAAGACTTGAGAGCTTACATGCTCGTTCTACCCAACGGTTGAACTGGTGATCATCTTGCGCAGATGTTACAGCTTGTGCAAGCACCGCTGGTATGTCGTTCAGTGGATGCACCGGCACTCCACGTGACTGTCGTGACAGTCGCTCCTGATACGATTTCACAGAAAGCACTTGTGGGGTAAGGATCCGTTTCAAAGCGCAGCAGGAGCCGCAACATCGCAAGCAGTGCTGTTCTGAGACCCAATGACATCAGTACGCAATGATTGCGATGCAGCTCGTCAAGCTTCCTCATTGCAATCCCGAGGCACAAACCCATAATCACGACGTGAAAAGGTGTATTGGGTCGTGCCAAGCCGCGGTTTCGGTCCTCGTCATCAATATGACGACGCTGAGCAGCGTCAAGAGGGTTGAATACCCTTTCGTCGGCACCCTCACGAGAGGGAAGCGGTGGCGCTTGGTGCAATGCGTTTGTTCCCCTTAGAGAAGAGGATACGGAGTGGGATCGTTGTCCCTCGCTCGGTGAGCGTGTCGAACGTGAGGTACGATGACCCGACGGAGACTCGGCGTCGCTGCTCTGAGAGGCAACGTCACTGTCATCATCTCCAACGATGTCACGGTGCATTGCTTCATCCAATGATGGAGCAGCGCAATCAGATAGTGCTCAAAGAGCAAGTGTTAAGAATGCTGCAATGCTCTATAAGTAAGTGCTAGGCACTTGATGCTTTATTAGCAAGTGTTCGTAAACACTAAAGAGTTTAATACCAAGTGCAAGACACTTAACGCTTATAAGCAAGTGTCGTAACAACAAGGTGCTTTAACGTAAGTGCAATGCACTGTATGCTCAAGGAGCAAGTGTCGAAACACTAGAGTACTTAGAAGCGTGAGTGCAAAGCACTAGATGCTCAAAGAGCGAGTGTCGTAACACAGAAGCTTTATACGCAAGTGCGAAGCACTTTATTGCGAGGCGAGCAAAGTGAGAAGAAAATGAAATCGACAGAGCTCCACATTAAGTTCGAAATCGTGGGTACGACGGGTCGCACGGTGTGGTGGGGGAGGGTGTAACGAGTTCACAAAGGTGTGCATTTTACATACACACTTGCCACACCATTGTGGTGTGGCTGTATCTTGGGTACATTGGTAGGTTGAGGTGACCGACCGTACGAATGGTTGCATCGTGGCAGAGAGCCACGTGGTCACTATACTTAGTTAAGTATAGTGACTATACATGTTTACATATTCGGTGGCTACAGAGCCGGATAAATAGTGACTAGCGCTAAGTATAAAGTTGGTGCTTCTATATTCAGTGCTAGAAGATAAAGTTAAATAAATCAGTCTGAAACCTGCTCTGAATATCACACGTGCTAGACCGTTCTAATCCTTGCATGAAAGGAAGTGTGTCGTTGATACTGGTCTCTTGGAGACGTGGTTATATATAACCAAAAGGCACAAGCTGGCAAAGATAGCCTTGGGAGGGTTAAGAACTCTAAGACATACAGCTCTTGGAGCTAGTCTTCCTCTGAATTCAGTGCATAAGTAGCTTTGTTACAGGGGCTTGGCTACACCTGGTATGTGGTACTTGACGGATGTATTTCTGCTCCTTTAGTTCTTTCTCCTCCATCTGTAGCACCATCATCTTGGGTTGTTGTAACTCCTTCTTGATCGTGACAGACTTGTCTTGACGGACACTCTTGGTCACAACAGATTCTTCAGTCTGTATCAGTCCATCATAGTATGTTGCCGGTCGAAGAACGTTGCTTCGTTCAGGCAATGATGATTTCAGCACTTGTTTCGATGTATCCACTCTTGCCGAAACGGCCATGGTTTCAAACATCTTAACAAGACTTTGTACGGTCATCACTGAACTAGACTGAGAGGGTGAACTGAGCTTGATGAACTGTGATGAAAAAACTACGTCCGACGTAATGATAGTGACACGTCGAGAGCTTTTTCAGAAATGAGAGTCTGTCCCTCGAATGTTTCTGGATGATAGTGTCAATAGATGGAATGACGCGGTTGGCTGTTTTTTTCGAAGCACTTTGGCGCCAATCTTCATGGAATGATTCGACTGTTTCCATAAATACATGATTATGATTGGTTAAAAGGAATATGTTTTATTGTATGCATTTATTACGTTCACAGCGGCAATCTTCGCGATCCCGCCTTGGGCCAATCGACAAATCCAGCTTCTATACAAGCAGTTCTTCTACAACGATTCCACCGAGGCGGAGCCCGCTCGTCACAAGGTCAACCCAGGGTTGTTGTACGCAACACGACGTGCAGGTGGGGTCGTCTTAGTCTCCGTCACGGTGGCAGAAACAACGCAGCGGCAGAAGCACGCCCTGCAATGGTTATTATGTAGAGAGGACCCGTACAAGAGGGCGTGGGTCATGTGGGTGACAAATAGGCAGGCGCGAGCCAGGCGGTTCACCGTCACACCACGCAATCCCTCCATGTCCTTGGGGGCTTAGCGGAAAAGACTCGGTCTCGAATTCGAAACGGGGACCTATCTGGCACCGCAACAGTGGCTGTCCTCCTTGATAAGCGCCGTGTTACGTCGCTTTTGATGCGGGATGAAAGAGGCTGCAGAGAGCTGGTGGGAAGGGTTGGCCTGGATCTTGCATTTACAGCATTCCGTTCTCCCACGAGGGCATACGAAGATCACTTTTGGACGAATGCCCTACGGTCGTTTTGGAGTACGCTCTCATGGGCGGACAAGCCCTGAATTTTGGGCCCAACTTCGCGGTGCTGCGTCCACAGCTTTATAACCGGGTAGCAGAGGGCTCTATGAGTGATTTTGACATGAGGAGGACAGGGCAATCCGAATACGTTTTCACGTTTCCGCCGTTTTCTCCACGTCACTCACCGATTAAGTTACGTCGGTGGGCAATAGTCGTCCTTCTCGTCGTTGTCTCTTCTAGCCGTAGGGGCTCACCTCATCGCGGCAGGTACCCTTACGCTCCGATAGTCGTCGCCATTTGCACAAGCTTACCAGTGGTGCGTCACCGCGCCGAGAGTAATTCAGGGTATCCCCGCTGAGTCCAAACGGGTAAGGAGGTGCCCATATGTCTGCTGCAGGAGAGCTCAGGGATCCAGTGGAAATGTCACGGGGATATCCCTCAGCTTGAGGTGTAATCAGGAGCCCCACTGGACTCTTACTGTCAGCACTTGCGGGAAGTCGGACTAGCTTTCGACGCTCACCCGTATCCACGGATATCCGTGTACAGCGCCGAGACAGTCTCGAACAGCTATATGCTGGCTTACGTGGACGGTTGGCCTATCGACACTGCAAAAGGGATTTCAACAAACCCTTGATGGCAATCACTAAGCGTCTTACCGCGAAGGCGGATGCGAACAGCTGACAGTTTGACCTTCTGTATCTGGTTCCCAGGTCTGTTTGGGGGCATTAGCATAGCCCAACGAACTGTCAGGTCTGGACGGTGTTTCGGCTCGCGACACACCAACTCAATTTCTACTACGCCGGTCGACCCGCTGTCTGGTGGAGACACAATGCACAGGCCAGGTGAAATCGTACGATCCCTTCTTCTGGAGTTGTCCCTTTGCTGCAAGCGGGCACAAACTCACCAGTCATTGAAAAGGGACCTGGGTACCGTCGGAGTGTTTGCAGCCTTGGAAACGCGCCTTCAATGACTGATAAGCCGAGCTGAAAGAGCTTGAGCACGGGAACATCCCAAAAAAAGATGCTCCTGGGTCTTCATCTGTCCAACACGTTCGCGATAGATGCAAGTGCATGCAAGTGCCGTCTGGAGGCTGATCCTCGTACTAAAAGTTTATCTGACCTGTGGCATGGCGGTATCGTGTTCATAACTGATATTGCGTCACCGCGTGCCTGTGATCCCATATCTGAGCCGGCGAGACATCGAGAGCTGCGTGTTGCCACCGCGTGTTCTGGCTCGGAGTCTATCAATGACCTGCTACAGGTGCCGCAAGACGAAACTTTGTCGCCTGAAAAGCTTGCTGTTTCAGGAACCTGTGGATGCGATGATTGGGAACCATAGGTGACGCAGACCATGGATAGTGCTGGATCTGTGGGTTGGAATAAAAGACGACCCCATTTTGGATGAGCTTTCGCTTCGCGAAATGTGTGAGCTCTTGAGATATTCCCTTGACCGGCGGGGTACACCGGCGACAAACCAAGCTATTCCATTGGGGCATTGAGTAAGCTCCCAACTGAGGGTGAGCAGAAGTGACAGAGAGAGAAGTGACTCGAACCCTACCCGGCCCCACTTGAACCCAGGTGATAGCGTAGGTGAAAGGGGGTTGGTGCCGTAGCCTGAGTGGAGTCGTGCTCCCCACCGGATTTCCAACGGCAAGAGACGGCGAAGAAAGTAAAACAATAATCGCCCATTCCCGAAGTTTTGCATGAGAATGACGAGGGACGTGTATGTCCGTGAAGATTCCGCCAAAGACGTGTTCATAGGGTCCCGTCCACTGAATGTGGAGTTGGGCGATGGAAACATCGCAAACACTGTCATACTTGGACCGAGACAGCTCCGCTCCCTGTGGTGCGAGAATCCAAGGTTTACTACTTCACTTAAGTCTGTCAGAAATCTGTGATCTCCTGGAGCTGAAACTCGGATTCGTGAGGTCGACCGGGGAGGGGTTCTGCGAGGTGCAATATCCAGTCGTTCGCTTCCCGATGATGAGAGAAGGTTCGATAGATGCTCCCTAACTCGTGCGAGGATGTCCGCCGTGTGCGTGATAGCTGGCGGCAAAGTGCATCCGAGATCATGAAGCAGACCCGGATACCGCTCGGAAGACGGCGCTGTTATGTGTTTCACGCTCGGCTGATGGGAGCTGACGGGCATGTCTAGGCACCATGCGTTATCCAGGACATCCACGCTATGAGATAAGCATCCTCCGGTCGAAAGCAGAGAATACTATAATATCAAGAAACCTCATTTAAAAAACTAGTCGCTTTGTGTCTCTCTGACTCTTCTCACTGTCTTGTAACCGATTGAATCATTCCATGAAGATTGGCGTCAAAATGCTTCGAATAAAAAACAGACAACCGCGTCATTCCATCCATATTTATCCAAGTTATCAGTATCTATTGAACTGCATGCATTACATACAAACATACATTTATTACATGCATATATACATACATTAATACACTTTCCACATGTTATCGTGGTGACTCATCGTTAGTCCATCACTTTATCAACGTAATATCACATTATCAACGTAATAAATACATGGGTTATTAACAATTAAGTACAAGATTTCTGAAATCTCTGCAGCCATATCAAGTACGCAGGGATTGCTGTCCGTAACGTCTCGGTAGGGACAGCCACGAGTGGAACCGCGGACTTACTTGGGGCTTGAGTTAAGATCTCAAGACACGACTGCACTTTAGTTCCTTGTACTACCGTGCCCCCCCTCCCTTGCAAGATTTTCGCCTGGTCACTACTTCGCGTTGCCTCACCATTTCCGCCCAGTATGCCCTCGCTCCTTCCCGAGCCGTAATGTGCTCACCTCGGAATACCCGCTGCACGCGACGAATCCATAGACGCATGGTCGCTACCGCACAGAGGATCGACCAGCAGCGATACCAGTCCGCCACAAAGCAGCACTGATCATCCAAGTACCGCTGAGCAACCATCCGACGAACATAAGACGAAAGGGGTGGCGGCGTTCTCGTCACATAGGCGCGTTTCAAAGGCTGCACACATTCCGACGGTACAGGTCCCTTTTCAATGTCTGATGAGTTGCGCTCGGATCGGCTGAGAAAAGAGACAACTCCAGAAGCAGTGATCGTACGATTTCACCTAGCCTGCGCATTGTGTCTCCACCAGACAGGGATTTCCAGCGGGTCGACCGGCGTAGTAGAAATTGAGTTGGTGTGTCGCGAGCCGAACCACCGTCCAGACCTGACAGTCCGTTGGGCTATGCTGATGCCCCCAAACAGACCTGGGAACCAGATACAGAAGGTCAAACTGTCAGCTGTTCGCATCCGCCTTCGCGGTAAGACGCTTAGTGATTGCCATCAAGGGTTTGTTGAAATCCCTTTTGCAGTGTCGATAGGCCAACCGTCCACGTAAGCCAGCATATAGCTGTTCGAGACTGTCTCGGCGCTGTACACGGATATCCGTGGATACGGGTGAGCGTCGAAAGCTAGTCCGACTTCCCGCAAGTGCTGACAGTAAGAGTCCAGTGGGGCTCCTGATTACACCTCAAGCTGAGGGATATCCCCGTGACATTTCCACTGGATCCCTGAGCTCTCCTGCAGCAGACATATGGGCACCTCCTTACCCGTTTGGACTCAGCGGGGATACCCTGAATTACTCTCGGCGCGGTGACGCGCCACTGGTAAGCTTGTGCAAATGGCGACGACTATCGGAGCGTAAGGGTACCTGCCGCGTTGAGGTGAGCCCCTACGGCTAGAAGAGACAACGACAGAAGGACGACTATTGCCCACCGACGTAACTTAATCGGTGAGTGACGTGGAGAAAACGGCGGAAACGTGAAAACGTATTCGGATTGCCCTGTCCTCCTGATGTCAAAATCACTCATAGAGCCCTCTGCTACCCGGTTATAAAGCTGTGGACGCAGCACCGCGAGGTTGGGCCCAAAATTCAGGGCTTGTCCGCCCATGAGAACGTACTCCAAAACGACCGTAGGGCATTTCGTCCAAAAGTGATCTTCGTATGCCACAGCATTCCGTGGGAGAACGGAATGCTGTAAATGCAAGATCCAGGCCAACCCTTTCCACCAGCTCTCTGCAGCCTCTTTCATCCCGCATCAAAAGCGACGTAACACGGCGCTTATCAAGGAGGACAGCCACTGTTGCGGTGCCAGATAGGTCCCCGTTTCGAATTCGAGACCGAGTCTTTTCCGCTAAGCCCCCAAGGACATGGAGGGATTGCGTGGTGTGACGGTGAACCGCCTGGCTCGCGCCTGCCTATTTGTCACCCACATGACCCACGCCCTCTTGTACGGGTCCTCTCTACATAATAACCATTGCAGGGCGTGCTTCTGCCGCTGCGTTGTTTCTGCCACCGTGACGTAGACTAAGACGACCCCACCTGCACGTCGTGTTGCGTACAACAACCCTGGGTTGACCTTGTGACGAGCGGGCTCCGCCTCGGTGGAATCGTTGTAGAAGAACTGCTTGTATAGAAGCTGGATTTGTCGATTGGCCCAAGGCGGGATCGCGAAGATTGCCGCTGTGAACGTAATAAATGCATACAATAAAACATATTCCTTTTAACCAATCATAATCATGTATTTATGGAAACAGTCGAATCATTCCATGAAGATTGGCGCCAAAGTGCTTCGAAAAAAACAGCCAACCGCGTCATTCCATCTATTGACACTATCATCCAGAAACATTCGAGGGACAGACTCTCATTTCTGAAAAAGCTCTCGACGTGTCACTATCATTACGTCGGACGTAGTTTTTTCATCACAGTTCATCAAGCTCAGTTCACCCTCTCAGTCTAGTTCAGTGATGACCGTACAAAGTCTTGTTAAGATGTTTGAAACCATGGCCGTTTCGGCAAGAGTGGATACATCGAAACAAGTGCTGAAATCATCATTGCCTGAACGAAGCAACGTTCTTCGACCGGCAACATACTATGATGGACTGATACAGACTGAAGAATCTGTTGTGACCAAGAGTGTCCGTCAAGACAAGTCTGTCACGATCAAGAAGGAGTTACAACAACCCAAGATGATGGTGCTACAGATGGAGGAGAAAGAGCTAAAGGAGCAGAAATACATCCGTCAAGTACCACATACCAGATGTAGCCAAGCCCCTGTAACAAAGCTACTTATGCACTGAATTCAGAGGAAGACTAGCTCCAAGAGCTGTATGTCTTAGAGTTCTTAACCCTCCCAAGGCTATCTTTACAATCTTGTGCCTTTTGGTTATATATAACCACGTCTCCAAGAGACCAGTATCAACGACACACTTCCTTTCATGCAAGGATTAGAACGGTCTAGCACGTGTGATATTCAGAGCAGGTTTCAGACTGATTTATTTAACTTTATCTTCTAGCACTGAATATAGAAGCACCAACTTTATACTTAGCGCTAGTCACTATTTATCCGGCTCTGTAGCCACCGAATATGTAAACATGTATAGTCACTATACTTAACTAAGTATAGTGACCACGTGGCTCTCTGCCACGATGCAACCATTTCCTTAGGTACGGTCGGTCACCTCAACCTACCAATGTACCCAAGATACAGCCACACCACAATGGTGTGGCAAGTGTGTATGTAAAATTCACACCTTTGTGAACTCGTTACACCCTCCCCCACCACACCGTGCGACCCGTCGTACCCACGATTTCGAACTTAATGTGGAGCTCTGTCGATTTCATTTTCTTCTCACTTTGCTTGCCTCGCAATAAAGTGCCTCGCACTTGCGTATAAAGCTTCTGCGTTACGACACTCGATCTTTGAGCATCTAGTGCTTTGCACTCACGCTTCTAAGTACTCTAGTGTTCAACACTTGCTCCTTGAGCATACAGTGCATTGCACTTACGTTAAAGCACCTTGTTGTTACGACACTTGCTTATAAGCGTTAAGTGTCTTGCACTTGGTATTAAACTCTTTAGTGTTTACGAACACTTGCTAATAAAGCATCAAGTGCCTAGCACTTACTTGTAGAGCATTGCAGCATTCTTAACACTTGCTCTTTGAGCACTATCTGATTGCGCTGCTCCATCATTGGATGAAGCAATGCACCGTGACATCGTTGGAGATGATGACAGTGACGTTGCCTCTCAGAGCAGCGACGCAGAGTCTCCGTCGGGTCATCGTACCTCACGTTCGACACGCTCACCGAGCGAGGGACAACGATCCCACTCCGTATCCTCTTCTCTAAGGGGAACAAATGCATTGCACCAAGCGCCACCGCTTCCCTCTCGTGAGGGTGCCGACGAAAGGGTATTCAACCCTCTTGACGCTGCTCAGCGTCGTCATATTGATGACGAGGACCGAAACCGCGGCTTGGCACGACCCAATACACCTTTTCACGTCGTGATTATGGGTTTGTGCCTCGGGATTGCAATGAGGCAGCTTGACGAGCTGCATCGCAATCATTGCGTACTGATGTCATTGGGTCTCAGAATCGCTGCTTGCGATGTTGCGGATCGTGCCGCGTTTTGTAAGTGGCCTCTTACTCAAGCACCTAATGACGAGGTATGGCCCAAGAGGGTGGGATGCAGTCAGTAAACGGAGTGATCTCTGACCTTGAGGTGGTTACACCTGTGGACGCTGTTGCGTCAGATGCTGAGAGTATTAAGTGTCGTGATGATAACACCGTGAGTGACAGTGATAGCGAACAGCTATAAACTCTCGTTAATGGTTTGACAGGGGATGTCCAAGAGCCGGTGGATCTTTCGGCTGTACTCACAGTATGTGCTTTGTTGAAGCTGGACGAGTTGGCATTTGCCGATTTTGGCAGTGCCTTACACTCAGGCAACGTCGCCGAAGCAATGACTATACGACCTGAGGAGAAGTTGAACACCTCATCGCTTTCGAATAAAGCAGTTCTTGAAGGTACCAAGAAAGCGTAGAATGCACGAAGTGGATCACAGATCCTAAAGATCCGTCAGGCCTTTTCTTTCCTTTGTTGGAGGAGTATGGCGATGTTGTTTCCAAAGAACCTCCTACAAGGTTACATCCGGATAGAGGTGTACGTCATGAGATTAACCTGGTATCAGGAACCAAATACTGCGTGACGCGACAGTTGCCGCTGTCACGAGAACAATGTAACGTCATTGGCGAGTTCTTTCGTGCAAAGCACGCGGCTGGCATGGTGTCGTGAGATTAAGTCTCCTCACTCTACGCCCACGTTTTGTGTGATCAAGCCTAATGGGAAGTGGCGAATAGTGCATGCTTACATTAATCTAAATGCAGCCAATATCCCGGCTCAAACACTGATTCCTCGCAAGATGTTCTTCAGAACAATATATGGCGGGATGTACAATGTACAATGCCCTCGACTGAGTCGATGGATATTACCAACTGCTCATGCGAGCTAGTGATATCCCGCTCACAGCGGTCAGCACTCCGAGAGGTATGTCTCTAGAAGAGGTTAGTAATGCCAAGGGCTGTCTAACGCACCTGCAACGTTCAATCGTCTGGTAACGCAGTTGTTTCGGCCTCAATGGGCTTATGCACAGACATACTTTGACGATATATTCGTCCATAGTCGAGCCGAAAACGGTAAGACCGATGGGGATAATCACATCCAATACCTGCGAGCTGTGCTCGGTTGCATCAGAATGTATGAGTAATATGCTAATATAGACACATACATCTTTGGTGCGGAAGAGATTCCCATTTTGGGATGCTTTGTTGGGAAGAGAGAAATCTAGATAGACCCTGTCAAGGTCAACGCCATATTAGATTGGCCGGTTCCGCGGAACCAGAAGAACCTCCGCAAGTGGTTGGGTTTGGCAAATTACGTGCATAAGTATACCCATAACTATGTGGAAGTGGCTAGACCATTGTCGAGTCTCCTTAAAAAGGATGTGGAATGGTGTTGGAACACCCAGAGCCACGATGCTTGTAAATCCGTTAAAGTAAGTCTTCTTCAGGCGCCAATTCTGTCTTTGCCTGACCATGATCGTCCTATTGTGTCGTGTTCGAAGCTTCGGACTTTGCCATTGGCAGTGCACTTTTGCAAGTCGACTCTGAGGGTCGAGAACGCGTCATCGCGTTTGAGTCTCGCCAGCTGAAAGCTGCGGAGAAGAACTATCCAGTTCATGACAAGGAGCTACTTGCGATGAAGCATGCTTGTTTAGTTCCGGTACACCTCTTGGACCCAAAGCCGTTTGTGATCCATACCGATCATGCGTCGTCACGCACAGCAACACATTCGCCTCTTCTCTCTCAGAGAATGGTTCGTTGGATATCCTTTTTCGCGGAGTATAACTTCGAGGTGAAGTATAAGCCGGGGACACATAATGGTTTTAGCCATCGCGTTGTCGCGTAGACCTGACTATGAGCTTGCTCATCTCACTGTTGTGAGCTCATCAGTAACGGATTGTATCCATGTAGCGTATGCACGCGATGCGGCATGTGTTGCCATTCTTCAGGTGCTAGGTAGCTCAGAGTTTGAAAGATCTAAGGTGAAGCTGTCACCACGTAATCGTGCGCGATTTCATCGCTATACACTGATCGATAGTCTGTTGTACTATAGTGCAGGGCCGGATGGCTAGCAACGTGTTGTGGTGTCTCATGATGAGCACCTCAATTATCAGATACTTCATGAGGCTCATGATGCACCTGTTGGTGGTCATTTAGGTCGTGAAAAGACCTACAGCTTGATAAGCACCCATATTCGTAGCTTAAGCTGTGTAAATGGGCTTATACGTATGTCCGAACGTGTGAGACGTGTCAAAGGGTGAAAACATCGCCTAGTATGGCTGCGCGTTTTGCGAGTTTTGCCTGTACCCTCTGAGTTGTGGAAGCCCATTAGTATCAATTTTTTATTTAACCTACCTCGCGATGCGGTGCTTGAAGAAGCATGCTCTCCACAAGTCTTTGACTTAAACGTGGAAGATAATTTGCGCTTGGCTTTAAAATTAGCGAAATAAAAACGTAGACGAAGTTCCAACCAAACGTCTTGTTGTTTAGAGCTTAAGCGCAAGTTAGAAAGACTTGAGAGCTTACATGCTCGTTCTACCCAACGGTTGAACTGGTGATCATCTTGCGCAGATGTTACAACTCATGCAAGCACCGCTGGTATGTCGTTCAGTGGATGCAACGGCACTCCACGTGACTGTCGTGACAGTCAATCCTGATACGATTTCACAGAAAGCACCTGTGGGGTAAGGATCCGTTTCAAAGCGCAGCAGGAGCCGCAACATCGCAAGCAGTGCTATTCTGGGGCCCAATGACATCAGTACGCAATGATTGCGATGCAGCTCGTCAAGCTTCCTCATTGCAATCCCGAGGCACAAACCCATAATCACGACGTGAAAAGGTGTATTGGGTCGTGCCAAGCCGCGGTTTCGTCCTCGTCATCAATTTGACGACGCTGAGCAGCGTCAAGAGGGTTGAATACCCTTTCGTCGGCACCCTCACGAGAGGGAAGCGGTGGCGCTTGGTGCAATGCATTTGTTCCCCTTAGAGAAGAGGATACGGAGTGGGATCGTTGTCCCTCGCTCGGTGAGCGTGTCGAACGTGAGGTACGATGACCCGACGGAGACTCTGCGTCGCTGCTCTGAGAGGCAACGTCACTGTCATCATCTCCAACGATGTCACGGTGCATTGCTTCATCCAATGATGGAGCAGCGCAATCAGATAGTGCTCAAAGAGCAAGTGTTAAGAATGCTGCAATGCTCTACAAGTAAGTGCTAGGCACTTGATGCTTTATTAGCAAGTGTTCGTAAACACTAAAGAGTTTAATACCAAGTGCAAGACACTTAACGCTTATAAGCAAGTGTCGTAACAACAAGGTGCTTTAACGTAAGTGCAATGCACTGTATGCTCAAGGAGCAAGTGTTGAAACACTAGAGTACTTAGAAGCGTGAGTGCAAAGCACTAGATGCTCAAAGAGCGAGTGTCGTAACACAGAAGCTTTATACGCAAGTGCGAGGCACTTTATTGCGAGGCAAGCAAAGTGAGAAGAAAATGAAATCGACAGAGCTCCACATTAAGTTCGAAATCGTGAGTACGACGGGTCGCACGGATGTGGTGGGGGAGGTTGTAACGAGTTACACAAAGGTGTGCATTTTACATACACACTTGCCACACCATTGTGGTGTGGCTGTATCTTGGGTACATTGGTAGGTTGAGGTGACCGACCGTACCTAGGACGAA